CAACTTGTTAATTAGGTTGGACATTTTAATTTGCTCTCCATGTCCTCATTGTATTGGTCCATTAGGCATCTTCGTTTCACCCTCAGTCATGGTACTGGAGGATTATTGTTTACTTAGCATTAACACTATTACGGGTGCTGTTAATTTTGCTTTAGAACATAGAACATAGAACATTACAGCGCAGTACAGGCCCTTCGGCCCTCGATGTTGCGCCGACCTGTGAAACCAATCTGAAGCCCATCTAACCTACACCATTCTATTATCATCCATATGTTTATCCAATGACCATTTAAATGGCCTTAAAGTTGGCGAGTCAACTATTTTTGCAGGCAAGGCATTCCACACCCTTACTACTCTCTGAGTAAAGAACCTACCTCTGACATCTGTCCTATGTCTATCACCCCTCAATTTAAAGCTATGTCCCCTCGTGCTAGCCATCACCATCCGAGGAAGATGAAGAATTGAAATATTCTTTGGAAGATGGAAGAATTGAAATATTCTTCTTGAACTTGCACATCTCATCATCTAACATCAAACTCAGATCTACAATGACAATTTGTTCTGCAGATAGTTTTGTTATTTGAACTAGTTCAACTAAAGATTCCTTACTGTGTGTGAATGGGTTGCACTACCATTGTCAGTATTTGCTCCTGCTTAAGAACTTTGCTGATTCCTACCATCTGAAGATTCTTCAGTGGGCAGTGCTTGTGCTTGTGAGGCTTTTATTGTTCCACAGTGCTGACACAGACTGTTAGCATCTTGTTTGGCTTTTTTTAATCTTTGCTTGTCACCTGCTTGAAATGCTTGTACCTGATAAGGTAGGGACTTTTGTGGTGTAGTCGTAATGTCCTTACCTATGAGCCAGGAGGCCTGGGTTCATATCCTACCTACTCTAGAGGTGTGTGATAGTACATCTGAACAGGTTGTTTGAAAATACCTGTACTTATTAAAGTGGATAGGTTCTGTTGGTCTTCTCTGATGTATGTTGTCCTTCTCTGACAATTTGTCTGCTCCTCTTGGTTTCTGCTTCTGACACAATCTGAATAGCTTTCTTCAAAGTCAGATCTTTCTTGGACTGTAACATATCTGCTAAAGACTCGTCAATAGTTTCAACAACAGTGCTGTCTTTTATGAATTCTGCTTCCACAGTCCGAAAATTTCCACTCATCTTTTGGCATCATTAATGAAATTAACTATGGATTCCCCTGGACAATGAACTCTTCCACTAAATCTTGCTTTTTTCAAGAATTTTATTTGTTCTCAAATTGAAGTAATTGTCCAAAGCTTAGACAACACCATCAAGCATATTGGTGTCCTCTTTCATGAGTCAGTGATTTCTAATGTCATCAGCTATAGGTCCTATCGAATACAGTAAGGTATTTAACTGGCTTGCTTGCACTTTAGTATTTCACTTTGAAGCAATTCTGCATCTTAATAACTTTTTATTCCCCAAGATGTTCAATCCCATGTCCTATTTGGCCCATCACGTCTCATGAGTCAATAAAAAAATAAAATTTTGCAGGTCATATTGTTTCTTCTGTCATGTCTTCCTAATGCGATTATTCATCCCACTTATTTTAAAACTTTTAACTTTGCAATATCTTAAGTTTTCTGTAATCTCTTTCCCTGGAAGACATTTATGTCTGTAAATAGCAATGCAGTTTTACATTCCTCGTCTAAAAGGTTTTACACTGTTTAGCATTGCAATGTATTCTTTTCCATCTTTTCAAACTTTTAATTCTGTTCAATATGACTGCATTAAATCATTACATTGGCTGAAGCATAATGCAATCTTCAACACTAATCCTTTCAGTAACATAACCCAATACAATACTCACCTTTCGCTTCAGCTCTGGCTCCCCAGCTTTGGAGGTGGAGGTTTTGCCTTGAACCAATTAAACCGCCTCACAGTATGCAATTATGCTGAGCCAAACCACCAAAATAGAGGAGGGATCTCCCAAAACTTTTCAACATGGGATGAGAACCTATTAGATCTAGCCAATTGTCTCTCCCCATAGATGCTCTGTGACCCATTGAATATTTACAGCTTTTATTTGACACTGCAGCATCTGCACTGATTTTGCATTTATTTTGCTGAATTCCTTCTCCTTATTCAAATTTGTGGGTTCATTGTCAGGTTGTATGGGAAGGGTTCCACATTGGGATCTCATAATCTGAAGACTTACCCGTATGTTGTGAAAGCTGCACGTCATGCACTTTTGTAATCTTTCTTCCTCTTCTCTGTCTGTGAATATATCAGGTGAAGACAAGCAAGGTTCACTAATAGCCAGCACTTCAAATCATGCACTCAATGGGTCCTAGTCTCCACAATGGCATTCACTTTGTAAGATGTAGAGGGTCAGAAAGAGAGGGATACAATGGCTGAAACACAGAGCATTTGTGAGCCACTGCATGTGAGGAATGTAGAAGAGGAATAACTTCTCTTCTGGAGGTCTCGCCTGCATCCCAATTCAACTACATTATCTATAAATCAAGGTATTCAGACTTCATGGAAGCTGTTTTAAAAAAGAATAACTTCCAAGCTTTCGTATAGAACTGGTGAGCTGCATTAAACACAGTTCTGTAATTGCAAGTGTCTATTAAGTGCATCTACTGTGTTTTGGATATTTCAGTCCACGATGGAGTACAAGGCAATGCTGGGAAATCTGCATTAAAGTTTCACTTTTGCTGTAATCCTAAAGCAAATGATATTTTTCCCAAAGATGCTTAGAATATTGGCATCTTCAGCTGCTAGATTGGTACATGTTTTTTCTATGATATCATTGGTGATATAACATTTGCTGTCAAGATCAGTGGCCATAATGAGGCCTAGCCAATAGCAGTTGCACAGCTGTAATGGGCAATGATAACGTTGTAGTTAGTCTAACAAGACCTCAGTATTTGAGAATAATCTGTGTTGCCTGCATTGCTGGCAGTATGCCCAGTTTGCCTCTAAAGTAGCAGAAATGGAAATCTATAATAGGTCTGTCTCCGGATTCAGAAGCCAGGAAGCAAGATCCACCTCAATCGTGAAGACAATTATTTCAGAAAACAACAAGTCAGTCCTAGCACCAAAGTAGCACTGAGAAGATGTACAAGACAATAGTTAATAGCATTTAGATTTCACCCAGGGAAGCATCCTATTAGAAAACACAGGAAGAAATCTTAACAGGAGAGACATGCACACAAGGCCATTAGTCAGTTAGGAGCCATTTTGTAAGTGCAGTGGGCTTTGTTGTAGCTGTTTAACTCAGCCATGACATTTCTATTCTATTTCTGGATTTTGTAAGCAATTGAAGAGGAGAAGCAGGAATGATGAACCAAATCTGATAAACTATGGTCAAAGGAATTCCAGCAGGGTTTAGAGTGGCTAAACTGGACAAAAACACAGAAATGGTGAGGAGACCTGGGAAGGATCTTTGATTTAAGATGGATATGTGGAGGAATTTCTTCTTTCAGATGGTAATCAGTCTTTGGAATTCTCTTCTAGAGACAGCAGTAAAGACTGAGACATTGAATATATCAAAGGTTAAATGAGATTGAGTTTTGATCTACAATAGGCCACGGGTTGTGGGAGATAGGTAAAAAGATGGAGTTAAGGCCGTAGTCAGACCAACAATGGTCTTATTGTATGGTGGAGCAGGCTCAAAGGACTGAATAGCCAACTTCTGCTTCTATTTCTTGTGTCCAAGCAGACTTCCAAGCAAGTGGCAGAGGAGGTAAGCAGCAAGACTGTAATTGTTCCATTCTCAAGTCAGTATCCAAAGAATTCCAATTGCCTCAGCCACTTGAGAAGAGTGGTAAAAGGAGTGGTAAAACACTCACAGGAGTAAAGTCTTGATTCATGACTTTTCAAGCATTTACTTACACATCATCCCTCAAACCAGCATACCTTGTAGCTCCACTCATTCGTCTCCAGGCATGTCACATTTCCACCCGAATAGCCAACACAAATAGCTTGCCTCATTGTCACCCTCCACAAATTTTGTCTTTACTGCACTGCACAATGCATAATGCATTTTTTATACTCACAACTCTTTGCTGTCTCTCGTTGGAGTTGGACAAATTGCACAACTTCAAGGGAAGCAAAGAACCAGAGGGGAGGCCTCCAGTGATAGTGACCTTGACAGCTACTGGCTATACATATCCATCTGGTCTGTTAGAAAGGAGCCCTTGTTCCAGAGGATGACAGCCAATAGCAATGATCTGCCTAGAAAATCTAAGAGGCTTAAGGTACTGGTGCCTGCACATGCACGATGTGAAAAGGTTGATTTTCTGCTGCTATTCTGGGTATTGCCTCCTTTAAGCTGGATTTCTGAGTCCATCCCCTTTGCTCTTTGGAGTGACATGTTGCTGTTGAGAAGCCGGCTGCTAATGCTGCCATTAATGATGATATTCCAGTTGTCATGGTGCTGTTGGTGTTGCTGCTCTTGTTTCTCATCAGAGATGCAAAATCGGGCAGCATAACAGACTCACACATCATAGGAAATTGCAAATTCTTTCAGGAAGTTAGAAATTGCTTGTCAATAATGAAACCACACACACAGAAGTAGTGCTATGAGTACAAGCCTCATAGTGGTTATTGTAAGATTTTGGGTTTTTGAGCCGCAGATACCTTGAAAATGGAAGCCAAGGATGGGTAAATAATTTTAAGGTAGATTATTAAGTCTGTTAAGAAGCTTATGTCTGATGCAACAACGCAATAGAAAGGATAAGTGTACAACCCGTGACAGTTGAAAATAATTCACTGATCAAAGAGGACAAACAGATGGTTGGAACAGAGTATGTTTATCTCAGTATTCTGTGTATGAAATTCAGTGCATTGATTGATAGTAAAATGCCATTTTGACATTATATGTATTTGTATAATCTTAAGTTCCTGCTTTTGATGTCTCTATTCAAAAATAAATGATTAGTGTTCCAGTACTATGATTTTAAGTTGATAGCTGAACATTTTTAATACTTACATAATGAGAACATTTTTTCAATGTATTCAACAGGAAGCTATGGAAAAAATGGGAAAAATTGGAGAAATAATTCATCCGGATGAAGGGCAAAAAAGGTACTTAATTTTAAAATGTTCTTAACTTGATTTTTTTTTAACCAGCTTTCCTTGTAAGGGAGGCTAGGTTTACCTAACTTTCATCAATTGCGGTCTTCTACTGTTTTCTAGAGCAACCATCAAATTGGAGTGAGTTGATTCTGTATTAAAACTTTGCCACCTTATCAAATTGCTGAACAATATTCAGCAGATTTTTGGGGAGGGATTTGATCTTATTGACTCTTCCATTCTGTAGAACATTATTGTTCCCAAGGCATTGTATCACCAGGGTATTACGTTCATGGTACTTCACATTGTTACACTGGATTAATGCTCATTTTTATTGTTAACTTCCTCTGGCAAGCATAATCAGACTATAGTTTCATTTTTGAGTGAATTATTGAGGTTTGCAAGCCATAGGCTGCGCAATACTGTTGGGTTGTATTCCAGAGACCCTACAAGAAACACCATATATTGTGGATTTCCCCTGTAAATGGAAAAAATATGGTAGTAATTTTCACCATAGTATCCTGCCAGATTTTCTCTGCTTCCCTCATGACTGTTATTCCATCAAAAAAAAATCCTGCCCAATTAATTCAATAATTCCCTTTAAATGTAAGACTTATCTTTTGGCATAAAGATATTCTTTACATCCCAAGCTGAACCTCTTGGAAAGCTTCGCTAAGTAAATTATCAGCTTTCAAAATAATTTTGTTTCATTATCAGGTTCTGTGCATTACAACAGTAACCACCTATCAAAATTTATTTTGTTTGCTGTGAAGTACTTTAGAATACCCTGAGGTTATAAAAGGCAACACAGTTCACACCACTTTAAACATGCGTATTTAAAAGGGGAGTCACTCTAAATAGTATGCATTCATAACATTAATTTCAAAGTTTTTATTTCTCACATTTACTTTGGGGAGAAATGATGCTCTTCATTCTCAGCTTGTAAAGATGTCCCTTTCATTAAAACCATGTGTACCCAACCCTTTCTTCTCAATTTCCGATCCTCTGGCATTCATTAGCTTTGCTTAAGATGTTCCTTCCACATCTCTTGCAGTTTGTTCTTCTCATAAGTTGGCATTTCCACATTTTTTCCCCATATCTATTCACTGTCACTGATGCAAAAGCTTTTTGCCAACACCTTTTCCACTTCTGTTGAAAGGCCTGGAAATCAGGTAGCAATGGGCAACTCTTTACAGGATCATAGAAATATAAAAATTCTTTGGGTGCTATGGCAGCCATTTGTGTATGGCGGATATATTACATTCGTACAGGGTTGCCATATTGAAGCATTGAGAACAATATAAATGAAAATTCTTTTGCATTTCTATTTAGTGTCATTTTTGTCTTCAGGTCTAGGTGTAAGCACTCTTCTCTGGCCGTTGGAAAGTTTTTGGAACTTTGCTAACAGCATAAAGTTAAATTCCTGACATGAAGGTCCTCAGCCTGTTTCCCTCTGCTGTGCACCTTTGAAATAAGCATATAGGCCAGGCAACAACCTTCTCAAATAACAGACAATCTAACTACCACCCCTTAACATTCAATTTAGTTACCATCACCAAATCGTCAACTATTAACACTATTGGGGTTAACTTTGGGGTTAAAATACATTGGCTACAATAGTAGTTAAGAGGCTAGGAATATGGCAGAGAGTAATGCACCTCCTGATTCTCTAAAGCCTGTCCACTATCCAAAAGGCACAAGTCAGGAGTATGATAGAATACGCCCCACTTGTCTGGATGAGGGCAGCTCCAACAACACTCAAGAACCTTGTCACCATCCAGGACAAAATGACCTGTTTGATTGGCACCAAATCCACAAACATATCTACAGACGCACTACAGAAATTCACCAAAGATCCTCAGACAGCACCTTCCAAACTCACGACCACTTCCATCTCGAAGGACAAGGGCAGCAGATAAACAGGAATACCACCACGTGCAAGTTCCCTTCCAAGCCACTCACCATCCTTACTTGAAAATATATCAGCATTTCTTCACTGTTGCTGGGTCAAAATTCTGGAATTCCCTCCCTAACTGTAGGTCCACCCACAGCACATGGACTGCAGTGGTTCAAGAAGGCAGCTCACCATCACCTTCTCAAGGCTAACTAGGGGCAGGCAATAAATGCTAGCCCGGCCAGCGACGCCCAAATCCCAAGAGTGAATATAAACAAAATCTCCCTCGTACAAAGTGAAAAATATCTGACCCTTTCCAAGCAGAAAAGTGAAACAGCTTTATCTAATCAGTCATCAAGTATCATAAGTCTTTCATTCTGTTTCAAAGTCCATCTTTTACTCTATTACATATCAAATCCAACACTTCTAGTCCTTTGATGTGGAGATTAAGGCATTTTTTAATTGTGCTATGGGCATATACACAATTCACAATGGAGAACAGATGTCACCAGAACAGTGTGGAAAATCTAGTCAGATTAGAATACTCTAAATATTGGTGTCATTCTTACAAGCATTTACAATTGTACAAATCAGTTATTTTGTTTAATGATATAATATCGCTGGTTAAATTATACAAAAATTTCCTAGTATTAACAGTTTAATAAATTCATCTAGCAATAATAACACTCCTAAATAGCCTACATTTGAAGTACCGCAGCTGTAATCAGTATAAATTGTACTGTCACTAACAGGAAATGTCTGCTGAGAAATGAACAAAAAGAGAGCAATTACAAATCTTTGATCTAACCCTAGGATTCACAAAATGGTTAAAATTATTTTGTATTCTATTCCTACAGAACCTCTCTATTAGACTGTAACCTACAGTGAACCTCTTTATTAGATTGCTGGCTAATTCATTTCCTGCCTGCAAGCTATTTATTTGGCGCATATGATTTTCACATATTCTTCATTTTTAAATGAATAAATAGTTAAATTTATAGTTTTAGCTATGAGTTCTTTATGCTTGTTTTAGAAAATCAGCTAGTAATTTTTTATCTTTCCGAAAGAATTTGAATTATAGTAACGCAGCCGCTGAACTCTAGAAAAACTAAAAGGATAAGACAGTGTTTTTCCACTATTGAAACACAACACGGGAAACATCTGGGGCCCAAGCCTAAGCAGGCATGCATTTTGAACATCATTCCCATGTGTCTTGCTCATCTATGTGCTGAGAGGAAATCTCAGGGGAAATTGGCTTTAGCCTAAGGACCAATAAAGTTTGTATGAGATTGTTGTTTTCTAGCTGAAAATATAGAGAGCATTTCTATACTAAAATATTGTTTAAATTCAGAATAAAGTCTTCTAATTCAAGAAAATCTGACCAAAGCATCTCATGTTGTTAGAAGTCACTTGTTAGAAGTTTAGTTTATTATTAAAATAGTTTGAGCTCATTTGTTTTGTAGGTTTTATGACAACAAATACAAAGTCTTCCTGAAGCTGGTTGAGCACCAGAAGAAATACAGAGCAATTATGCAAAACATCTGATTGCCACAGCAGTGGAGGAAATGTCCAGAATTTACGCAATCCTTTACCACTTTCCAAATAAAGAAATTGTTTGGTAATAAAATTGCAACGAATACATTGCTATCTTTGTACTGCATTGGAACCTTTGTAACACATAAACATGAATTCCAAGTGATCAAGTAGAAGAAAGATAATGTCACGGCTTCCCCAAAGAAAAATTTTAGATTAAATCAATTAAAGCATGTAAGCAGTTTCATTTTCATGTTAACACTAAACTTTGTTTCTTGTAAATCAGATGTTAATGCCTAAGGAATCCTATAAGACTTCAGGGTGAGGCCTGACTGCAGAGTCAGCAACGTGCACATTGCAACTTCAGTGTTAGTTTTGTTTTGCATTAATGCTACATTGCAATGTAAATCTACACTAAAAATGTACTTTAAAAAAACTACTGTTATTCATGGATTAATTCTTGAGACTTGTGAGTTTACAAGGTGGCTAGAGTCTGTTGTAATAGAAACAGCAGGCGAGACTTATACCCTGCATAGGCAATACAAAGGAGTGGCTGCAGTGATGTTAAAGAAGTGTTGATAAAGGTGCTCAATGTTGATTTCCAAACACTTTCTTGCCAGCCACCATTTTAAATGCCACGTTTCCAGCAGTTTTGGACTAAGTTACTGCAGATACTAGAATCTGTATCGAAAACAAATGCTGGAGATCCCAGCGGGTCAGACAGCATGCATGGAGAGACAGCAAGCTAACGTTTCGAGTCTAGATAACTCTTCATCAGAGCTGAAGTGTTGTGCGGAAGGGGCAGCATTTATGCTATAGTTTGAGGTGGGGGCGGGTTGTGACTGTGGCGGGTTGGAGAGTGCTGGTGGAGGAAAGATGTTGATAGTTCAGATTAAGTGATCGGAGAATATTGTCTCGTTCCGATATCACTTAATCTGAACAATCAAGATCTTTTCTCCACCAGCACTGTACACCCCACCACTGCCACAACCACCCCCAACTATAGCATAAATACTGCCCCCTCCGCACTTCATTTCAAGTCTGATGAAGAGTCATCCAGACTCAAAATGTTAGTTTGCTCTCTCTCCATGGATGCTGTCTGACCCACTGTGATCTCCAGCAATTGTTGTTTCCAGCAATTTTGCCTGCCTGGCTTCTTCATAACACAAATACTGGGGTTATGATTTGATTGTGTTGCCTGACCCATAGTGCCCGAGACCAGAAGATTAAAGCCAGGCAAATAGATTGTTAAAAGATTTACTTGTAAGCCAGGAGGAGCAATTTTCTGGTCCTGTTGAAATGTTCATTCTCACACTTTGGCCCTTGTCACTTCAATCTAATTTGAAAAGTTAAATTTTGTGCTCAGAGCTAAAATACTATCATTGGTAACCTCGGTGCTCATTCTCCCAGGCTCATGCACACCATGCTCACAGCCTAACTTCAAATTGTTAAAGTTATCAGCTTATCTCATTTGTATTTGAGAAAATACTCTAACAACACAAACACGTAAACATATTTCCCTAAACAATCATCATTGATCTTATTTTAATTTACACCACAGAGGAACTGTTTGTATGGTTTGTGTTTTGTCATGATTGTGTAAATTTCTACCTGAGAAGAGATATTTAAAACCAAAATTTATTTTTCCCTTTCCACCAGTTTGTTGGTCCTAGCATGTTATAGTGCTGCTGCCACTACAGCATATATATTGTAATTTGTGTTTTAATGTTAATACAGATTTAGATGTTGTTGTTGATAGTGCGAGTTACATTGGCCATCATTTCTGAACGTGCTAGCTAAGTATTCAATGCACCTGTATTCTAACAGTGCAATTTTTACAATGATACAATGTATAAAACAAATACTACCCAAAATCAGGGAATTTCCGAGGGCAGAATTCAAAGCCATTTTTGCATCATTTTATTGTTATGTATCTTAATTGGTCCTAATTGTTATAAAAGCCACTAGGCAACCAAACTCTAAAGTTCCAGGAACGTCAGAAAATTACAAAATCTCTACTGGTTCTGGATCCTAGTCAGTAAGGTATTCCATCATCTTACAGTTTGCATCCAGGACCATACAGAACTCTGTTTTATAAGATCTGCCTGGTTTTGCCTTTGTTGTTGCATTAATATAGATTCCTGTTACAAAGCTGCTTCTTCGTATTTTTTCCACGTTCTCTTTCAAAATTGATTAAATAAGTCAAAAATCGTTGATCCATTGATTTTTTTTTAATGGAGCCACAAATTACATTAATGTTTTTACTGATACCAGCACAGAATGGCATCCTGCCAGGTATGCTGGAGCAGAAAGGTAACTACAAACATGAAAAAGGACAATGGGAATAACTTTCTGTTGCAGTTCTCCTGTTATGTCACATGTTAGCACAGAAAATGTATCACAGGCATCCTAGAAAAACACTGTTCATACTGTTTTCTGGGGTTTCCGATGCTCTTTGAAGGGACTTATGACAAATGAGCAACAGAAACCTCTATGGAAATTGACCTCCATTCCTTTCAATACAATTAGCCTATCATCTGAAAATAACAATGTTGCATTGTTGAATTTGGAGCTGTAAACAAAAATGCCTTAGGACTGCTTCTGTTTAAGGACTGAGAATTGACCTCCTGCTGTGATGTGAGGTTTAACCAATTACTGCAGCGCTTCATACATGAAGTAATATACATATCACTACAGTGCTCCACTGTCTCTGAATTGTGGTATTAGTTGTCTGACATCCAGCATGGAATAAACAGACAAACCTCCAAATTACCACTGAACACTAAAGCAATTAACTTTGACGCTGCCCTCAAAATATAATTTCTTAATCACTGACTGCATCCCCAGTAACAATCTTCAGCTAGAACTACTGCGTGGGTGATCCATCTTGGCTTCTTCCAGTGGTCCTCGGCAACAGGGGTGCCGGACTTCAGCTAACTGAATTCACTCCACATGATATCAAGATCCACTGAAGACACTGGATACTGCAACATTCTGCAGAAGTACCAAAGACAGAACAAGTTGTACCCCTAGCCAAACTGTTCCAGTACAACTGTAAAATTGGCATGTACCCAACAATATGGAAAATTTCCCAGGTGTGTCCTGTACAAAAAAAGCTGAACAAATCCAACCCATCTAATTACCTTCCCGTAAGTCTACTCTTGATCATCAGTATCAATTGTTGTAATTCGCCAAGTCTTCTTAGGCAGCACCTTCCAAACGCACAGATATTGTCATCTAGCAGAATAAAAACCGAAAGAACTGCGGATGCTGTAAATCAGGAACAAAAACAAAGTTGCTGGAAATGCTCAACAGGTCTGGCAGCATCTGTAAAGGAAAAAACAGAGTTAACGTTTCCGGTCTGGTGTGACCCTTCCTCAGAACCCGTTCTACCAGATCTGCTGAGCTTTTCCAGCAACTTTGTTTTTGTTGTCATCTGGCAAGACAGACACAGCAGATACATGGGATCACCAACACTTGCAACTAACATAATATGTCTGAAAGTCTGAAGTCTTGGTTTAAATCAGATACAGTAAACTGAATGATAATATTATTATTTATCAGTTGAAAAGAGAATGCTTGATTATACAATTGTGCCATGTAAATATCATATGACATAGAGGTGGCAACAGCTAAGGCTGAAGTAAAAATTCATTAAAATGGAAATGTGTGCCTCTTTCTAAGGAGAAACAAACAAGTCTTAATCAGTAATTGATCAAACCAGCCATGGTAGATGACACATATGTAATGTTGTAGTTGTCAAACTGATAAAATTGTTGGAGATTAAACAGTGTCAAAGTTTCACACGCAACATCTCTGTATTGAAAAAGGGGCTAAGAAAGCTTGCTTCAGAGCAATAGTTAGCTATCTAAGAAAGTGTTGTCTGATCCATGACTGGAGGTAGAGACAGAGCAGGCTGATTACCTATTTCGGTTGACATAAATTGGCTCACTTGTGATTGTAAGCACTGTGTGTGTGATATTGTGATGTATTATTTTCAATATTTTTGCAGTATCCTTTGCTTTATTAAAGAACGTTAGGTATAGCCCACTGTTAGGACAGCCCTGAATTATTGATATCCAGGGTAAATACAACGGACCAGGAAAGGTGAAAAAAATAGCTTACACAGTGGTGAGGTGCCTTAGAATGTTTTACTATGTTATAGGCACTATAAAATAGCACATTATTGTTGCTGTTTTTGAGAAAACCTTCAGCACTTGTATCATCCACTTATGCAACAGGAAGTATCAATACAAGCTTATCCTTTCTCAGAATCAATAATTTACATGAAGGAGCATATGACAAATCAGAGAGTAAGAATGAGTGGAAAGAACTACAGATGAAATTGGAATAAGGGAAAATAAATTCTCCCGGCTGGCGCTCCAGTTCAAGAGTCCCCACAGCTCCTGAGTATATGGATTTGTCACGAATGTCTACAAATATGTCCCCAGCAGTATGCCAGTTGAGAGTGCCAAGCGGTGTCTTCATTGCAGAATATTTACAATCCAATCCTCTATCCATGCCAGTACCCTTTCCCCTAACACCATGGGCTTTTATCATATTTAGCTGGCTTTTCTTTGTCTAACTTGCTCACTACCTCCTCAAAGAATTCCAACAGATTTGTCAGGCAGGAACACCTCTACCGCATCTGCTCCCAAGATGGAGCATTCCACTCCCAGACATCCCAGATGACCTCATTTCTCAAGGACCGTAACTTCCCCCCTCCACTGATTCATAATGCCCTGAACCACGTCTCTTGCATTTCCTGCACTTCTGCCCTCAAACTCCCTCCCCCCCAACAAAAATAAGGACAGAGTCCCCTGGTCCTCACATACCACCTCACCAATGTCCACATCCAGCACATCATCCTCTGCCACTTTTGTCACCTGTAATCAGACCCCACCACCAAAGAGATATTTCCGTCCCCACCTCTATTTGCCTTTCATGGGTACCGCTATGCCATGACTCCCTCATCCGCTTCACACTCCCTACTAACCCCACCACACTCGGTACCTTTCCCTAAAACCGCAGGAGGTCCTACACCTGACCCTACACCTCCCCTTTCACATCTATCCAAGGCCCCAAACAATCCTTCCAAATCCAACAGGGATTCACCTGTACATCTTCCAATCTTGTCTACTGTATCCATTGCTCCCAATGTGGTCTCCTCTACATCGGTGAGACCAAGTGCAGATTCGGTGACCGATTCCCTTTACCTATCTTTGTATCATCTGC